CCCCGCAGTGACTTCAAAGTACTTTAATATTTCATTATAATAATGCTTATTTTTAAACAATTTCTAACAATATTAAATTTACACAGAGAAACTCCCATGCAAGAATAATTTGCGAAGCTGCTAATACTCAAAAAATTGATTCATCACGATGCGAAACGTGGATGCACGAGAAATACGTCCGCTGTGTATTTGGAGTTAAACTTTATCCTAAAATAAATGTCAAAAGAATTGTTCATCAGCCAATAATAGTATTATTGTTGCTATCGTTTGGGAGAGCTTCTATACGATCGACACAATTTAGCTCCAATAGTAAATATTTGTGCGCATGAGATACGTAATTAATCCGATCGAGATCGGGGCACTTAATTATATCTTAATCAATTAAGAATTGATCAGTAATAACAATATCAAGGGTCGATGCTTATAAGGTAACAAAAAAGGTAATACAACCGTTAAGGATCTTAACGATTAAAATAATATGACAATAAATACATCACTAAAACTATTAACAATTGAGAAATCGATTTTCTTATATCCTTTATAACCAAGACATCGAAGTCTAAAGCTGTATTATAAGAGCGAAAAGGCAGCTCTTTTATACTTTTAAGATACATATGGATAACGTTTTATCTATTGCTACGTATGTTTTGGTTTTTACCAGTACTTTTCACTTTGACTTATTTATACCGATTTACCCTTTCCTGGACCTTTATCTAAAGCTTTTGGTCCTAGTCAGTACCTTTGTAAACCTATCTTAATTAGTTTATCCTCCTAAGCTTTTACCCGTTTCTAACCTTACACCTTAACATACTAAACAATAAACAAATAAAAAAAATAACGATGAATTGAATAAATATTGAAACCCTTCGGTACCTTTAAGCCTCCGCCACCCTAGAAGCCTCACAATATCCTCGTGGCTTCAGAGTTTAGTCACAAACAAACATTTTCGTTACTACCTTACACTATCCAGTCACGATTTTAGCATGTTCTGTATGTTTAACATGCATTCATTATTCAATTAGTTTCAACTTTATGATTTATTTTTCTATATTGGGCAAGATTATGAGTACGTCGAGAACTACCAGGTGGTGTATTATCCTCAAATGCAACTTTAGCATATATGAGTGCTGCAAAGGGAAAACCTGCAATTGTGAATTTTCCGAAATCAATTTTATAGAAACGACTTATCAGACACATAATTGCAGGTTTTCGCTTTGCAGCACTCATATGTCAAAGAGGTAATATTAACTTACTGTTGTATTTTTAATATTGTTAGAAATTGTTTAAAAATAAGCATTATTATAATGAAATATTAAAGTACTTTGAAGTCACTGCGGGG